TCTATGACGTTTTTTATAACTTAATGGAAAATATCGTGTTGCCAGTAAACGTAAAGTGTAGAGAAAATGAGAAACACAAGTGCAGATAAACAATAATGGGAAAAGATATCAAAGAAAAATGGAATAAGGGGTAATCCACTGACGGTCACGATGGTGTTGGCATGAAAAAAGAGAGAGGGAGAGAGAGAGAGAAGAGAAGAGAAGAGAAGAGAAGAGAAGAGAAGAGAAAAAGAAGAGAAGAGTGTGAGAGAGAGAAAGTGAGGGAGAGAGAAAGTGAGGGAGAGAGAAAGTGAGAGAGAGAGAAAGTGAGAGAGAGTGAGAGAGAGAGAGTGAGAGAGAGAGAGTGAGAGAGAGAGAGAGAGAGAGAGAGAGAGAGAGAGAGAGAGAGAGAGAGAGAGAGAGAGAGAGAGAGAGAGAGAGAGAGAGAGAGAGAGAGAGAGAGAGAGAGAGAAGAGAGAGAAAGAGATAAGAGAGAGAGAGAGAGAGAGAGAGAGAGAGAGAGAGAGAGAGAGAGAGAGAGAGAGAGAGAGAGAGAGAGAGAGAGAGAGAGAGAAAGAGAAAGAAGAAGAGAGAGAAAGAAAGAGAAAAAGAAAGAAAGGATAGATGGAGAGTGATGATATTTGCCGATGATCCCATAAGTCTTCGCGAGGAATGAAAGGCTTAAAGTTGGCGAGGCGCGCACGGAGCAAAGCCTTACAAGGGGGAAATGGCTGTCAGTTAAAAAAGTCCCAAAGTTGAAAGTGTGTAGATATGTTCGTCATAAAAAAAGAGCAAGAAAGTATAAAACAACCGGGGAAGTTTGTGAGAATTATGAGTGGAATCAGGAGGTCGCTGACAGAACTTAAATCAGACCCTGACTTTGAAGATTATGAATTACAAGGTGCTAAATGGTGATGACGTCACGGCTTCATTATAGAATTACAACGATGAGAGGAGTGTCGAGGGTGTGGTCTAATTCCGTCAGTGAAGTAGAATGAGAAAACGAAAAGAACTTTAAATATGCAAAAGAATATAATAAAAGAAGTGTGAATACTGATCGGGAGGGGGCAACGAAACATAAGTATCTATAAAAGTCATAGAAGATCTCATAGAGAGCAATTTTGCTAGTATAGTAGTATCAGTTGTAGATGTAATAAAGTAGTATTTGTAGTGGTAAGCAGAAGTAACCAAAGAAAGGACATCTTATGATTTTGTATTTGATCATCAAATTTTGTCAAAACCAGCAACTCCAGGCTAGTAATATTTTGCTTGTCTGTTTTTTTTTTTTTCATCTAAAGGATAGCAAAAGGATCATAACTACAGTATCTAAGGGGACTGGCTCTAACAATACTTCAAAGAGGGTTTACTTGTTATCATCATCATCAACAACAACAACAATAACAACAACGACAAATAATGTTTTTTTTTGTATTTTTAACCGCAACTACGCTTCGGCGACGGACTGTAGTACCACCTAGCACTGGCTTACCCACCTCGACAGGATGACCCTTAACGACACGCAGACAGTCATATAAGAGAACAAGAATAAGAATGTAGGAGAAATACAAACAAATGTAAGATAGTAAACAGCCGAGAATAACAAACCTGAAAAAACATATATGTAATAGAACTTGAGAGAGATATAAACATGAGATACAGGCATTTATGTACAGCAGTCTTGGCCGGAGCCGGAGAATGAAGGGAGAGGAAGGGAGGGCAGATAATAAAAAAAATGTAATAAAGAGGAAAAGGGAGGAAAAAAAGCTAGATCTTAATACTGGGAGGGGCGGGGAAGGAGGAGGGGGGGGGATACACAAGGAAATCACATATACACAAATGGAAAAAACAATACAATTTTTTTTAGTAAGTGAAGCAGGAAAGGGAAGCTAATAAAGAAGATGGAGGAAAATTAGGAAGAGGGGGAAGAGGAGAAGGAGGAGGAGGAGGAGAGCAAGGGGAACAGGTGTGTACGAAGAAGAGGTAGGCAGCATTGATGAGGAAGAGATAGAGGAGAAGAGGAGGAAGATGAAAGGAGGCCACGGAAAGGGAGGAAAAGAGGGGGGGGGGAGGAAGAAGAAGGGGAGGAGAAGGAAGAAGAGAAAGGCAGAAAGAATATGAGAGGAAGGAGTAAGAGGAAAAGCACTAGCGTTTATAGCAGAAGTAGCGAAGCAGCAGGAGTAGGAGTAATTGTAGTAATAGTAATAGTAGAACGAGGAAGAGCGGGGGGGGGAGGAGAAAGCGGAGGAGGAGGACGACGAGGAGGATTACTAGCGGTAATAGCAGCAGCAGTAGCAAGAGTAGTAATTGTAGTAATAGTAATAATAGTACTAACAATAGGAGGAAGAGGAGGAGTAGGAGTAAAAGTAGGAGGAGAAGGAAGAGAAAAAAGAAGAGGAGAAGGAGGAGGAAGAAAAAGAGGAAGAGGAGAAGGAGGAGGAGGAAGAGCAAGAGGAAGGGACGATGGAGGAGGAGGAGAAGGGACGAGGAAGAAGAATACGAAGAGTAGGAAGAGGAAGGGAAGGAAAAGCAAGCGGATGAAGAAGAGGTGGAGGAAAAAGGAAGACGAGGAGGAGGAAGAGAAGATAAAAAGAAGAGAAGGCGGAACAAACAGGGGAAAAATCGAAAGTAGCAATAACAGTAAAAGTAGGAACATGAAGATAGGAGGACAAAGAACATGAACACTCGATCCTGGAACATAGGCGTAAAAAAGAGCGTGAGTAGGAAATAGAAGAAGAGAGATTGAGAAACAAAACCAGGATGGTAAAAAGTAAGATATAAAGGGAAATAGGAGAGAGAGGAAGGAAAATTGGGAAAGAATGAATAGGGAAAACTGGCGACAAAAAAGGAAGAGGAGGAGAAAGAAGAAGAAGAGGAAGAGGAATAGGAAGAGGTCGCAGGAGGTTAAGGAGGGCATAAGGCCAAGGCAAGGAGGCCACCAGTTTCTAGGAGTGAAAGAAATGTCATTCGGAGCAGATAAAGGTCTGAATTTGGCGAGACAAAGGGGCTATTGAAGGGCTATTGAAAGGCTATTAAAGAGAATTAATAGCACAATGACGGGACTAGGCGAGGGAGGGGAAGGAACAGGAAGGATAAGGAAAGGAAGGGGAATGAAAAGGGGTTAAAAAATAGGATGAAAAAAGGTACACGATACCACAAGGGGACTACAGGAAACGGGAGGAGGGAAGGGAGAGGGAGAGGGAGAGGCTCAGAGCACACACATATGGAAAAATAATTATCTATTAATCTCAAAAGGGAGGAAAATAACAACAGAAGACATTAAAGGAAACAAAGACATTAAGCTAGTTGAGAAAATAGGTAAGTAAAGATGGACTTACTAGAGAGCAAATATAACCCTGATGGAGAATCTCTATATAAGATAAATGGTAAATAATTACACATGTTCCTGGGCCAGACATGACACACAAGGACAGGCAAGGTAGAACTATAGACAACAACTGAGGGAACAATACAAGATATTCAGGTAAAAACACTAGTCAGTGAATGGATGCAGGATAGAGATTGTAAAGAATCAAATTTTATAGATGTGCTTAGTTATGTAATATGTGCGTATATAGATATACTGTATATATGTATACATACATAGATACATATATATATATATATATATATATATATATTATATATATATATATATATATATATACATATATACATATATATTATATACATATATTATATATATTATATATATATATATATATATATATATATATATATATATATATATATATATGGATAGATATAGATATATGTATATACATAAAGCACATATCAGGCTATATACACATGGGTAAGCACATTTATAAGATATGATCGGCACGTAAGTGCTAATTATTATGTACAACATATTTACATTTAGATATAATGTTAAAGTTGTAATCAAAGCCAGGAAAGGAGCCCTGCCTATCTATCTTGGCGCTACAGATGAAGGGGAATAGAACTAGTGCGGCCTTAAGCTACGCTCTCTCTGCCGGCCTAAGGAATTATGTACAAGGGTTTGTGCACGCTAGCCCTCAGCCCCGTATCACTATGCAGGCTATTTCCCTGGAATTCCTTTTACTATTTTCACTCCTCTCTGGGATGGATAGAACTGAGCTACGTTTAAGTCTGCGCTGTGATAAACTACACCACACAGGCTGTTGGAGTGTACTTTGTAGGATTAAATGGGTTCTGGAGAGGAATTTATTAGCTAGATTTGATGAATGTATCGCCGTATTGGTGTACTGAAAGTCGGTATATCGTATGGAAGGCTTTGGCGAATACACTGTTGTCCTGTAATCCAGTGTAATATATAGAATGTAGAACTGTAGCTAATGTTCATGTCAACATTTTCTGTAACAGATGTATTTTCGTCCTGTAGAGTACTTTTTCATTCAGTATCAGAGTATATGTACACAACAAAAAAAAAAAATACTGACCTGTGATGTGACATGTCTGTGTGATGTTCCATATTTCCGGTGCTTATGTAATATGTCATCTATAAATGGGTTGAATTTTCGAGCGTGTGTGTATTTATGTATGTTCATATATGTGTTTATCTATGTCTATGTTTGTCTGTGATTATTTGTGTTTGTGATTGCCCGTGTGTTTATGTGCGTGCTTGTTTGTTTCGCGTGTGTGTATGTTTATGTGTGTGTTTGTTTGTGTTTAGCATTGCATATATGTGTGAATTTCTTTGGTAGTATGTTGTGCATATATATGTTAGTGTATGTGTGCGAGAGAACAATAATATTCTCCGCTGTCTAGCCTTGGCTCATGTAACCTATAATACTAACTGTGAGTCGAAGCGTTTAAACTTCGAAGTGTGGTTTCCCCAAAACCTAATAACCCAGACCTGTGCTAGTAAGAACTGTGCTAGCAAGTTAGCATTCCCTTACGAAGTGCTGGGAGTGCTGGGGAGAGGGAGACAGAGAGAAAGAGAGAGGCAGAGGGAGTAAGAGGGAACCTGACTGAGCGGAAGGGGAGAAAGTACACATACTGAACGGGGACAGATCACTTACATGAGTTTGCTGACAACGCCATCGAGGCCACCTCGGTTTTGCTGTGGAGAGAAGGAATAACAAGGTTAAAATATAGGCGAGTAATGTACAAGTTATATAACACTACGTGCACACACACACACACACACACACACACACACACACACACACACACACACACACACACACACATACACACACACACACTCATACACACACACACACACACACACACACATACACACACACTCATACACACACACACACAGTGGAGAAAAAAAATCAGAAACTTTCAGGATCAAAATGGAAGTCCATTTTACTCATTCTTAGAACTAAAATGTTGATGCAACTTCAATGAGAAGTTTTAATGAGCCTCCGTCCTTGGGTAATGAAATATTAATTACAAAGAATGGCTGAAACACATCAGATTAAAAGGGAAAGTTGAAAATCGCCGTATTTACAGAATATTAACACAAACATACGGCAACCTGATTATTCAGTAGCCAAGGAACCATCGCCGATACTAAATCCTTTGGTCGATTAATATTTCCTATTCACAACTTACCTGCCACTGCTGCTGTGCCAGAACCGACCAAAGATGATATTATGCGTAAAGTAGCCGAGGGAGAGGAAGAGAGAGGTAGAGAGAGAAAGGAGAAGGGTAGATAGGAAGTAGATTGATAGAATGATAGACAGACAGACAGGGATACAGAGAGAGAGGAGAGAGAGAGAGAGAGAGAGAGAGAGAGAGAGAGAGAGAGAGAGAGAGAGAGAGAGAGAGAGAGAGAGAGAGAGAGAGAGAGAGAGAGAGAGAGAGAGAGAGAGAGAGAGAGAGAGAGAGAGAGAGAGAGAGAGAGAGAGAGAGAGAGAGAGAGAGAGAGAGAGAGAGAGAGAGAGAGAGAGAGGAGAGAGAGAGGGGGGGGGGGGAGGAGGAGAGACAGAGACAGCGACAAAAAAAAAAAAAAAAAAAAAAAGAACAGAAAAAAACAGAATTCTCCTCGTTTCTTTCTCCATTTGCCTTCCCTCCAGAAACCTTGTCATTGTCACGCTGAACGACAGAAAGAAGAGGCAAACGGGCTTCTTGCACACTCACTTCTGTCATTCCTCTAGCATGAGGATGGCAGAACAAACATATTTTCCTCTCCCGCTAGCTCGATCGTAAAATAAAAGCTAAATAAAGTGAAGTCAAACCGAGAAAGCCGCCTTCGGTCATATATTCCAGTTAGCAAGAATACGTGGGATGAATATACACATATATGATAAAACCCAAAAGACACATAAACAGAAAAAGCAAATGAAAAAATGAAAAGAAAGAAAGAAGAAGAAAAAATGACGCACGAACCAGTTTAGTCAAAAAATTATTATTTTTCAAACAATATGGTATTAAACATATTGTTTATTTCAAAAAGCCAGATTTATAAATGTTCCCAAAACTTATCATATTCGAAATTCGAAAAGGTATCAGCTATACATTTTCAAACAAGCACTGATTATTATTTTACTGAAATGGGCGGGTGAACTCCAAACAACATATTTTATTATTTGAAAATTACAAAAGGCAATAAAATGCCACTTTGTGCTGTTAACTTTTCGTGAAAAATATTCTCAAACAATTAATCTTCAGCGACAATTCTCCTAGGAGCGACTGATGTGAGAGAGAAGAAAGAAGAAAAAAAGAAAGAAACAAGGGAGAGAAGGAGAGAGAAAGAAGAAAGATAATAGAATATATAGCTAGCTAGCTAGAGAGAGAGAGACAGAGAGAGAGAGAGAGAGAGAGAGAGAGAGAGAGAGAGAGAGAGAGAGAGAGAGAGAGAGAGAGAGAGAGAGAGAGAGAGAGAGAGAGAGAGAGAGAGAGAGAGAGAGAGAGAGAGAGAGAGAGAGAGAGAGAGAGAGATTAAGAGAGAAAGAAATAAAACAAAGGGAGAGCGAACTAATGAAAAAACACAGAGTTATCAAACACCGAACGCCGACCATCACCGACATATCCCACGATGAGGGAATTCCGCGTATCAACCAAATGCTCCTCCCTCCCCCATACCTTCACTCGCAGCCTTACCCCGAATCCAATAATGAATCAAAAACCATCATCGCAGCAGATAATACTCTTGTCAGATCACCATTCAATCAAGAGCACATTACGAACAATAAAGTAATTAGCGATGCAGAACAATCGGACAAATGCAGTACATATGAGCCAATTGCACGGGACTCTATATAGAGCTACTGTCACGGCGAACAATGGTATGGGATGGCTATGGTAGTCTCCTCCTCTGTTTGAATTTTGTTCTTCTCTTTATCTCTTTTCTGTGTATCTCTCTGTCTTTGTCTCGATATCTCGCTCTCTATTTCTGCTTCTATTTTTTTTTTTGTCCACCCTGCCCTGTCTCTGCCCCCCCCCCTCTCTTTCTCCTCCTTTAAAATGTACCATACTCACTTTTACCCTTATTTTTCTCTCATCCCTGTCTCATTCTGATCTCCTCTTCCCCTCCTTTCTTCTTCACCATTATGGCTTCCCCTTCCTTCTCTGATGCTGCAACATCCTTCTTATCCCCTCACATTCCCTCCCCCGCTCTTCCTTTCCTTTCCTTTCCCCTCTCCTTCCCCCTTCCCGCCCTCTTTAACCTCCCTCCTTCCCATTCCCGCCTTTCCCTTCCTCCCTGCCCTCTCTTCCCGTCCCCTCCCTCTCTACTCCGCCCTCCTTCCCTCCCTTCCCCTCCCTATATCCCGCCCTCCTTTAACCCTTCCCCTCTCCCCTTGCCTTTGTCCCTAAGAACCCTGAAAGGCCGATGTCTCAGGTCCGCGTCCATGTGTCTTGCGAGACCGGAGGCGACAGGTAGTGACGTTGACCTCTGGCTGGTTGTCAGATAATCAATGGGAGGCAGGTGGAGAGGCGAGGCGAGCCGGGCGCTGTGGAAACTCTGCGGGGCCGCGCGCCAGGTTTCACTTACTGGGAAGGGATGCCTTTTTTCCCCTCCGGTTTTGTAGGGCGTTGTGGTCGTTCGTGCGGTTGTTATTGGTGGTATTATTATCAGAGTTGTTATCATTTCTACGATTCCTTGGTTTATGGTCCAGTTATGTGACGATATGGAGACGAACATATTCTCGTATCCATAAAAAAGGGCCAAGAAAAGCAGCATCAGTAATAATACAAAACCATCGTATACACCACACAACCCAATAGCCCCTTCTCACAAAAAACAACGACAACGAAAGCCAATCATAAACCGAACAACGTCAATACGAAACAAAAACATTCCACTTGCGTCCGACACCCACAGCCAATCATCCGGGTGTCACAGGCTTATCCGAGTGTCGATTGACTCGGTGTCGACATGTGCCGCGGTTGAATTACTTTTCCCCTTCGTGGCAATTTTCGCCCGTATGCTGTGACGGCTTCCTCCTTGGTTTCCCCTCTCCTATCTCTCCCCTTTCCTAGTGTTTGTTTGCTTGATTGTATGCGTGTGAGTGTGTGTGTGTGTGTGTGTGTGTGTGTGTGTGTGTGTGTGTGTGTGTGTGTGTGTGTGTGTGTGTGTGTGTGTGTGTGTGTGTGTGTGTGTGTGTGTGTGTGTGTGTGTGTGTGTGTGTGTGTGTGTGTGTGTGTGTGTGTGTGTATTTGTATGAGTATATATAAGTGTATATGCATATGTATATGTAAATGTGTATTTGTGTAAATGTATGTGTATTTGTGCATGTGCCACTGCTTTTCCTCTCTCCCCTTTACTCTTTCCCTTCTGTATTAACACTCCTTTGCTATTCATTCGTTTCCTTTCTTACTTTCTTCTCTCATCCGTAAACTTATTCAATTTGTTTTCATTCCCTCGCCTCTTCCTCGTTCCCTTCCTATAATACTTTGTTTCTGTCTCTTTATCCCCATTTCTGCGTTTGTCACTCTCTCCCCCTTCCTCCTCCTCCCTTCTCCCTATTTTCCTTTTTTCATTTTCTTGTCGTCCCGTTTCTTCCCCTCCATTTTCTCCCCTCAGAATATTCGTATTCCATTATTATTTTTTGTCCCGTTTTCCTGTTTCCACAAAAAATCTTTGATATCATATATAACATGTTTTCAACACGTCAGGCAAAGTAAAATGAAAAGACACGAAAAAAAAGAAAAATGTACGTTCCATGCCTCTAAAATATATTCCATGCTATAGCTCCTCATACAAATAATGACATAAATACATAAAATAAAAGGCTCTCCCATTACTTCCATGAAAAAGAATTTTAGAGAAAGTAAGAAAAAAGAAAACGTTTCCCATCCTAAAATCCTCGTACATTCTCACCTTTTACATAATCCAATTTCATTCTCCTTTCTGTCGGATTCCATAAAACATTCTTATCCCCCCTCACCCTCTCCTCCCCCCGTTCCCCCCTCCTCTTTCCCCCGGTCTGCCCCTCCTCTCTCTCTTCTCCCATTTCCCATCCTCTTCCTCTCCGTTTTCCCTTTTCCCTCATCTCTCCCTCTTCAACTCCTCTTTCCCCTCCCCCTTCCTTTTCCTATTCCCCTTAACCTTCCCCCTCTACTATCCCATCCTCTCTATTTCCCCTCCTCAATTATCCCTCCTCCTCCCTTTCTATCCGCTTTTCCCCTCCCTCTCTCCCTTACTCCTTTCTCCCCTCTTTCATTCTCCTTTCCTCTTCTCTCTTCTCTCTCTCTCTCCTACTCCCCTGTTCCTCCCTTACTCTCCCAATCTCTTTCCATCCTCAACCCCTTCCTCCCTACTTTCCCCTCCCTTCTCTATTCACATATCCCTTCTTTCTCCCTCTCCCACTTCCCTTTTCTTCCCTCCCTCTCCAAACCTCTTTCCCTCTTCACCCCTTCTTCCCTACTTTCCCCTCCCTCTATTCTCCTTTCCCTTCTCTCTCTCTCTCTCCCACTTCCCTGTTTCTCCCTCCCTCTCCTAATCTCTTTCCCTCCTCACCCTTTTCCTCCCTACTTTCCCTTCCCTCCTCTATTCTCTTTTCCTTTCTCTCTCTCCCTCTCCTACTCCCCTGTTCCTCTCTCCCTCTCCAAACCTCTTTCCGTCTTCACTCCTTCTTCCCTACTTTCCCCTCCCTCTATT